TTTATGTTAGAATTTTATTATGAATTAACATTAATTGATGAGCCCCAAATAGATTGGTCCTTATGATCTTGTGTGGATCGTGATAGGTGAATCACACAATTGAACCCAATAAATAGCGGCCTAACCCACAGCCCAGTAGTCATCAGTTATTTCTTGTATCTTAACTGATTGAGTCAGAGATAATCGATAATATAATTATTTAATTATTTGATAAGGCAGTTACACATCTGATAATATAAGTCGATCAGTCAATAACCGCAAACACACGACTCATTTTCTTCTACTCTATTATCTCTGAACTCTCTGAAGGTTTTAGGAAATTTGTGAATTATGTATCTGTCTACACTTGAGGTAATCGAGATTTCTCAAGCGCTCATGGATTTTTCAGGTACGCATGCATTACTTTACTTGCTTATATAAATTAAGATATATTTGATACAATATTTTAAATATCTAACTCTTAAAAAATATTTTATATTTTTTAACAGAAAGAGTATTATATATTTGGTGGGGGAAGGGGAGGAAAATCCTTGAACTTGATTGACAACCTATTCTAAAAATAAATTTTTATTTAAAAATGAATTAAAAATTTATTTAGTAATGTATTTTTAAAAAATATTTTAAAGAATAAAAAATAAAAATATTGTTATGAGGAATAAAAAAAATAAAAATAACTTTTATATATTTTAAAATTATTGTTTTGCAGAATAAAGAAGAATGAAAAAAATATTCTATAAAATATTAACTTTTAAAATAATAAATTAAAAATAGTTTTAAGCATGCTCTTAGCTTCCCTCTCCACTTCATTCATTGGTCGTCCTAGCAGCGCACCCTCGTCCCCATATGCCCGTACTCCTCGATAATTATTCTATGCTATCGTCCATGCTAATTACTTTCTTAGCCACGAGATAAACATGCGTCCAGGCGGTGCCAGACTCCTCGATAGCTAATTAATTCATTCCCTATTCAGGTCCCATCATTATATCGCTCTAGTCTTCTAAAATCACTGCATTGATAAGGTTAATATTAATTTAAAAGTTAATGATCAAATCTTAATAAAAAATAATTAAAACTGGCCATGAAATTTTTTTATTAAACCAATTAAAATATTAGTTTAACAGTTTATTAGTTAAATTTAGTAGCTTGGCCTAATTTCCATGCTACATAGTACATGCATATATATATATATATTGCCTAAGTAGCCACCTTTTCATTACTTCATTGTTTCCTACCTTATCTCGATTAAAATATAAGGTATTGATAATTAATTTATAATTTTAAAAATATTATTTGAAATTTTAATTTATTAAAAAATTTTACTCCTTTTGGTCTCATTTGTAGGGTGGAGAGAGAAATTTTTTTAATTCTATTTATAAATCACGTCATTAAATTTTTATCATAAATTTTTTTATCTTCCATTAAATATTGGAGAGAAAAATATTTTATTAAAATGTGTATGTCTAATAAAGATAAAGTTGAGAACTTTTTAAATTTTAAAACAGAGTTAATAAATTTTAAGGCTTTCTTTAATATTGGTAAATATGTTGAAAGTAACTCATAAATAAGATTAAAAGAATATTTTTAAATTTTACTCTCATCTTAATGTTTTGATAATAATAATTAAAATTTTAGTATGTTATTTTTTTTTTCAAACAAAGCTTTTAAAAGAATGTTTTAAATTGTAGTCGAGGCAGAGTATTTTGTATCTCTCTTGCAGGATTCTTGAATTTTTCATGCTGCCACGTGTCTCCTCCAACGCTTCACACGTACGCTTGACCTCACAAGCCTGTTAGTATCACCGCAACCTGCATCTTCAATAATTAGCAAGACTTCGAGCCCCTTGTTGTTTAATTTCCATGTTGCCGTCTTTTTAATTTTATCATCCCATCCCATCTATACGTCAAATATTTGCTCGTCTCCATGTATCATTTCAACAAAAAATGCTATGTAATGATCTCTTTTCTCTCTATGTTGACTTTAATTACCCGTCTTCCGAACACATTGAACAAGCAATTATTATATTAATTCAGCAAGCAACGTCGATCCCCACAAAACCGACGTCTTGTTTTGTCCTCCGGTTTTGATTATCGAGTGATTCTTTTGGGGCGGACCGGGAATTGACAAGATCGGAACTGTTTGATTCATCAAACTTTGATTGACCAATATAATTAAACAGCAAAATATTCATATATATTCGATACTTTTTATTTTTATTATTGCACAACGCATATCACTTGTCATACAAGCTATGGTAATATTTTGTTGATTTAAATCATACATTAAATTAGTTTAATAAAATCCTTTTAAATAACAAATTAATTCCAAAACTGACATCGCACAATCATGTTATTTTGTTTCCCCGTGAGCTAAATTCTCGAATTATTGAGTTTGAACTAATCTTTAATGCAATGCATACTTTTTTTGAAAAAAAAATAAAATGACAAAATAGTTCAAATTTTTTAAGTTGTGTTTGGATGAGTGAATTTAAGTTGAGAATTTCAATTTAAAGTCTCACATTTAAAATTCATATATTCTAAATTATTTATTTGGATGGTATAAAAAATTTTAAATTATAATATTAAAATCTTTTGTTTAGATCTAAAATAAAATTTTATATTTTATATTTTATATTTTATATTTGAATTTAAAAGAAATTTAGACGACTGGTCAAAGTCGACAGTTCAAATGGCCAACTTCCATCAGGATCAAACAGTCAAAGTCGATTGAGACTGTAGCACCAGCAACAATCGAGACAAGATAGCTGACTTCATCCAAGACTAGACTAACCCAACAACGAGGACTAAACAGTTAACTTTCATCAAGATCGAACTAACCTAACAATTGGGATTGAATGGCCAACTTTCATTAGGATAGGACTAACAGCGATGACAGAGATTGAGCGACCAAACTTTAATCGAGACCGGACAGATGACTTCTATTGGGATCAGATCGACGGCAACAATCAAGACTAGGCGATTGACTTCTATTGAGATTGGACCCAGTGGAAGTCAATTATCAAGTCCCTATCGTTGCCATAAGTCCTATCCCAGTGGAAGTTGGATGTCAAATCCCCATTGTCACCATCGACAATCTTAGTGGAAGTCAGCAGCTCTGTCTTGTGGAAATGGGCCACCCGGTCCTAATCGTCGTTGTTGGTCTGGTCTTGTGAAAGTCCGTCGTTCGATCCCAATTGAATTCAGTCATATGATCCCCATCATCATCGTCGATCTGATCCAGGTGGAAGTCAGTTGTCTAGTGTCGGTGAAAGCCTGCTATCCGATCTTGGTCTTAGCCATCAGTCCTATCTTAGTGTAAGTCAGCCGTCCAATCCTGGTAGTCTTTTCAGTCTTGGTGTAGTCGGCTGTTCGATCTCGATCATTGTGGTTGGTTCGATCCTGGTGGAACTGGTTGTCCAATCCTAATGGTTGTCCTTGGTTTCATCCTATTGGAAGCCCATCGTCTAGTCTTGGTCAACTGTGGCAATTTATTTCCATTAACCTTTGATGATCCAATCCAATTTATCGTTGGGGAGTCGATCAAGCTTTCATGGATTTGGCCAAATTATTAAAAGTGATTGAGTTAGAATTTGAAATAGTAAGGGGTTAAAAATGATTTCAAATTACAAAGAGGATTATGGTGAAACTAGGATTTGAATTTGGGTCATACATTTTTATTATCCAAATAATAAATTTAGCTTAAATTCAAATCCCAACCCATATATACTCTAAACATAGCATGAATCCAATGCAAAATTGAGCGACCAACTTTAATCGAGACCGGACAGATGACTTCTATTGGGATCAGATCGACGGCAACAATCAAGACTAGGCGATCGACTTCTATTGAGATTGGACTTAGTGGAAGTCAATTATCAAGTCCCTATCGTTGCCATAGGTCCTATCCCAGTGGAAGTTGGATGTCAGATCCCCATTGTCACCATCGAACAATCTCAGTGGAAGTCAGCAGCTCCGTCTTGTGGAAATGGGCCATCTGGTCCTAATCGTCGTTGTTGGTCTAGTCTTGTGAAAGTCAGTCGTTCGATCCCAATTGAATTCGGTCATCTGATCCCCATCATCATCGTCGATCTGATCCAGGTGAAAGTCAGTTGTCTAGTCTCGGTAAAAGCCTGCTATCCGATCTTGGTCGTAGCCATCAGTCCTATCTTAGTGTAAGTCAGTCGTCCAATCCTGGTAGTCTTTTCGGTCTTGGTGTAAGTCGGCTGTTCGATCTCAATCATTGTGGTTGGTTCGATCCTGTGGAACTTGGTTGTCCAATCCTAATGGTTGTCCTTGGTTTCGTCCTGTTGGAAGCCCAACGTCTAGTCTTGGTCAATCGTGGCAATTTATTTCCATTAACTTTGATGATCCAATCCAATTATCGTTGGGGAGTCGATCAAGCTTTCATGGATTTGGCCAAATTATAAAAGTGATTGAGTTAGAATTTGAAATAGTAAGGGTTTAAAAATGATTTCAAATACAAAGAGATTATGGTGAAACTAGGATTTGAATTTGGGTCATACATTTTTAATTATCCAAATAATGAATTTAGCTTAAATTCAAATCCAAATCATATATATCTAAACATAGCATGAATCCAATGCAAAATTGCAACACATACTGTAGTAGAGATAGAAAGAGATACAGAAAGTGACAGGATCCATATAAATCAATGGGTTCACCAATGCTCGTACTCTCCTTAGTCTTATTGGTGAGTCATTTTCATTAATTTTATCAATATTAAGATAATAAAAGTACAACAAAAAAAAGTAAATGAAATTTTAAATATAACTCTCAAGTAAAAAATAAAAAAAATAAAAAATAATATAATATTATTTTTTATCTTTTTCTCTCTTATTTTTCTAGGATAATTTAAGAATTTTAATTTAAAAAAATAACTTCATTAATTAATAATTTAATAAATAAAATAAATTATATTTTTAGTGATTAATATACAAGAACGGAGAATATCTCTGATGAATTACACCATTTACTAATATGCCTATCTTTTGGCATCCTCACTCTCTCTCTTTCAACCTAAAAATCGCTGTCTTTCAGAGTCTGTCCCCATCATCATCTCCATGTCTGGAAACCCTGTCACCATGAGAGTGAGAGCCAAGCCCTGCGATCGTCACCTCCCTTCCATTGGTATATAGCTAAAGACCCTCCATAACCTCCCCCCCTAAAAAAAAAAAAAAAAACCGGTTCCGTTCTCTTCATCGCTTCACTTGCATGAGTTAATGATACTGTCATCATCTGCTACTACAATGGCCTTCCCTCCACACACCTTCCTGTTCCAGACCCACGAAAGATCCCGATCACCTCCCTTCTACCTCCATCAACGCCTACCCCTCCTTGACACCCAGACTCTTCGAAGGTCGTACTCTGTCTCTCTCTCTCTCTCATAGTGTTCATTTATTTATTAGTAATAAACGTGCTGTAATAAGCTATTCCGATCTTACGCAGGGGGTGCAGTACCTTGATGTTGAAGAGATCCGTGTCATTTTCAGGGATCGAGAGCAAGCATGAAGATGAAGAACTGTCTGATGATGGATCTCAGCTGATGGGGGAGAAGAAAGAAGAGACTGAACATGGAACAAGTGAGGGCACTGGAAAAGAGCTTCGAGTTAGGGAACAAGCTGGAGCCTGAACGCAAAATGCAGCTGGCCAAGGCTCTAGGCCTTCAGCCGAGGCAGATCGCTATTTGGTTCCAGAATAGGAGGGCCAGATGGAAAACCAAACAGCTCGAGAAGGAATATGAAGCTCTCAAGAAAGTTTGAAGCTCTTAAGGCTGACAACGATGCTCTTAAGGCCCATAACCACAAATTACACGCCGAGGTACATATCTATACTCTTGGAAAAGGGAAAACTTGAACTCAGAATCCATCTAGGTCTAGGGTCGGTATTTTTCTTTCCATTTATACAACAGCTATGTATTTGATTGCGGCTCTAGCTAGTCTCTACCCCTACGTTTTCAATATATATATATATATATATATGTATACATATATACTCGGATTTTGGCATATTGCTTCTTCATAGTTATTTTCTTGTTTCTATTTCGCTACTTTTTATCTTCTCCGTCTTGATAACCTTCTGAAATTCAATTGACTCTGCTGGTTAGAACGACGGATTTTTTGGGGCTCGAGTTTCGGTTCTGTGTGTGTGTTTGATGTGTAAACTGTGAAAGTCTCCATTTCCCTGCCTGAATAGATATAGATCGATTCTTTGTGTATTAATGACTATAAAAAGGACATCGATTCCCTCATCAGCTTTCTGCTTGGTTCCTTGATCGTTCTTGTCAAGAGTCAGTGGCACAGTGTCAGAGCTTCAGAACTCAGCATCGAAGTACATTTAAATATTAGCCAATTGTAAAGTTTTTCGTTTCTTCTCTGTTTTCTGAATTTAGATATTCCTAGTTGCCGTGAAGTTGCATTCTAGTTCATTGAATTTTGAATTTCCACTAGGAAGACACATGAAGTTATTAATGGATATATAACCAAAGGCATGTTGGTTTTACCATATATGTATGATGTGAACTGCAGTTACAAGCTCTAAAGGGAACGGATTGCCGTGAAGAAGGCGGAACCAGGAACCTTAAGAAAGAACCTGAGGTTTGTTGGAGCAATGGGAGTACTGAGAATAGCTCGGACATTAACTTGGATCTCTCAAGATCACAATTTATAAACCGTACTGTAACTTCAGTACAGAATGGGAAAAACCTTCTTCCCTCTAATGCCCTTAAGCCGACCAGCATAACCCAGCTCCTCCAGTGCTCATCGAGATCATCAGAACTTCAAGATGAAAGCTTCTCCAACATGTTTAACGGCGTGGAAGAGCACCAGAATATCTGGCCCTGGCCGGAGCACCACCAGTTTCATTGAAGCGCTGATGATCACAATTCGGACATCACTGAAGAATTCAGAAGGATCTTGAGCTTATTAGTTACAGCCACACTTAATTTATTTCCCTGGTTAATTATAAGTTTCAGTTTATGCTTGTGATATAGATTGGTGTATATAAATTTATTTGAGCAAATCTACTTTCAAGAGTGAGGAAACGGTGGGCTTTAAGTAGTGCACCTTCTTTCCATAGACACTTTAAAGTATTGCAATTATCTCATAGATATATCCTATATATAAATATATTGGTTAGGTTTGCGATAAAAAAAGGTAATAAATTATTAATACTGGGTTAAAGTACATGTGCCCCTAAGTGGAGTTCCAGCTCTGGCATGCAAGTATGGGGCCATGTAAAGAAATAGGATTCCCTGTTTGCATTGTGTGATTACAATACATATTTTATTTGGTGCTGGGTGCTTTGGAATCATGAGATGATATCATGAAAGCTGTTTGAAGAAAGTTCACCTGATCTGAATCAGCGACTGACTTTTTAAGGGTGAGAGGGCCATCCATCTCCCCTCCTTAGGGACAAGAGCCCAATCTAGTTGGGAGTTTAAAAAGCAAGCAAGATGCATGGCACAGAGAAGTAGAAGACGTGGGGTTTTGGGGGATTCTGTGCACACAATCCCATGACAGATGAGAAAAAGAGAAAGAGAGAAATATATATATTATTATATATAGATCCAAGACCACGTTATGATTTTTTTCTTTCTTTCTTTCGTTTTGCTTTTTTGAGAAGTTAAATCTGTCTTTTTATTAGTATACACAAAACACAAAACTTTAAGCCGATTTTATTATAAAGAATTCAGTATTTTTAGAACATCGAGTTCCCTCATGCAGCAGAATTTAATTTATATGTAAAGATGAGTTGGGAAATAATGGTGTTATAGTATTTAACTGAGTTATGATCGGAAATCCATGTGACATACTGCCAAAGCAAAACACTCTCCCTCCCTCTCCCTCTCTCTTTCTCCTCTCAAGGTTTATTAGTAGCTACGTATCTATGTACGTATCTGGCATAGGTTGCAGTAAAGGGATTATATTAGAAATGAATAGAGTAGGGATGGATTCCCCTGCCATGAAAAACACTACGGAGTACGATGTTACGTTCAATAAACATCAAGGGACGCTTTAGATGGCAAAGACGCGGTACAGGTGGAAAAAGAGTTGTCTCTGTTTTGAAGGACACTTTTCACCAAAGTGTCTTAACAGGTATGGTCAGTGCTAACTACAAAGCTACCCCAATTTAATGAATACGTCGCATATCTCACTGCTCCAATAAACTCGCTTTAAGGGTTCGCATCATGTTGCCAAGAGATCGAGACATTAAAAATGAACTCGATTTTTTTTTGGTTCACTTAGGCTCTCCCTGGGGCATCTTAATTAAAAGCATTTTTGAAGATAAATGTGAATGAGAGTATGAAAACTGATGAGATTGATCTCACTAATCATTCTCTAGGTTGTGAGGGTAGTGGATAAATCTTGCTTAATTAGATAAAATAAAATAGATGATATCCACAAGTAACCTTCCATATGTGCCATCAGGATAAAGCAAAGGACAAAAATAGGCACCGACCAATAAAAATAATATTTTTACAATTAATTTATATCATTATGACAATGTTTAGTAATCTATACTTATATTGTCCAAAAATTCTATAAACAACATATAATAATATGACATGAACATTAAAAAACAATTTTTAATTGTTTAAAATACAAAATGTTGCAGTTAGGAAATTAAAATATAATTAATCAATTTTACACAAAAAGCATTGTTAATTAATTGGGTGTGTTTTATTATAGATATTGAATATGCAATGTGTATGCTGAATTTGAATTTAATATGGTTTTGAATATTAATACTTGAGGGGGAAATATGGTTTTGGCAATATAGATGGGGGAATTTACATTTCAGTTTAGTTTAGACCTGTGGTCCTTGAGTAATCTAGGTGTGGAATTTTACAATCACATAACTAAACTGATTTGGAAAACATTTAAAAGAAAGAAAATCATTTAGAGCAAGTCCAAGCGTAAGGATTTGATTACCTTCTCAGATTTGACACTGAATATATTGTGATAATTCGCAACCCATGATAATTAAGGACCAAAGGTCCTAAATGTTAATTTTGCAATTTCTTGTTTTGCTCAGGAAAACAAAAATCTTGATCTCAAAAATAAATAAATTAAAGCCACTTGACCTGCGAGAAATGTCATCATGCTACTACAGTGCCAAATGGCTGATACGGGCTGATGCCAATGAAATTTAAAAAGGAAATAAAAAGATAAAGCACATGATTTCCCAGGAAGAAGAAATAAAATAGAAAACACATTTGATTATGGGATAAAGTCAACTATGTTAAATATTCAATAGATTAAATCTGATTTCATTAATGCCCGAATCAAATTTTTTCTGCTTTGCTGCTCAGAACTTGGATCCCAATCCACTGTTCTTCTCTTTGGGTAAGATCTCCTGCTTCTTCCCAAACAATTAACAAAGAAGAAGAATGAACACGCTTCCGCAAGGCATGTTTGGTAACCTTAATCGATTTTAGTGTGTACTAATGCAATATGCGAGGCCCGCGTTTATCTTAAGCTGGATTTAAAGAAAAAAAAAATATACTAAGCTGCGTGTCGCACTCAGTTTAATTAATTACTATATACTTTCTCTAAGTAATTCAAATTCTGTAGGCTAGTTATGCATATTATCCTTCGACATGTTCCCTAACTTTGATTTTTTTTTTTATTAACTAAAAAGGTTCCTTGAATTTATATAAAATTTACGATGAGTCGCGATTATTTTGACATGTGTAATCAATACAGCATAATCTCTGTATGTATGGTAATTATATTTCGTATGGGTACATTGATGGCTTAATTTCAAATAACCATATGTCCTGAAAACGTAAAGAATACAACTCACTCTCTTTCTCTCTCTATATATACATAGACTCATGTGTTATATATATATATATATATAATTTATTTTCTAGTGCTTATTTAGTTGTTAGAAAGAAATATAATGAAATGAAATCTATTGGTAAAGAATTAAATACATTTAAATCAAATCATGTACTGATAGAATATAATTGTAAGAATGATGAAGAGACGAGAGCTTTTAAATGACAGAAAGATGGGAGTGTGGATTGATTATCTTATTTTATATTTGACATGTATTATATAAAAATTTCAAAAATAATCCAGAATCATACATAATTGTTCATCAATAAGATTAATTAAAAATTTACAATTACTAGGAAGGCTGAATGATAGTTTAAAAAATGAAAATATAAATTGTAGTAATTTTTTATGAGATTATGAAATTTTTACTCTATCAAATTTACTTGAGCTATCAATTTAATTTCTTAAATTTGTCTCAATTATTAATTCTATCTTTATAATCTTTTTGACTGCTCACATGCCTTTTTCTATTGGCATATCTTCTAGCAAGAATTTGAATTTTATTCGTCATGTTGTGAGAGATTAGACTTTTTTATTAGACCCCACTTATTTAAAAAGAAAATAATACTACTAAAAATTTGGTAATATAGATAAATGAATATTGACGTCAGCCATACATGTTAATTAATGAAAATAAGTATAATTATTTAAATAAAAAAATAAACTCAAAAATTTTAAAAAAATAACAAACACTATCCTTATGTAAGGAATTAGATGAATAAAAATTAAATTAATTTGGGAGACTAATTAAAAATCATTTAATTATATATTATATATATATTATATTTCAAGTGATCAATCAACATACTTTACACATTAAGTTAATCTAAAAATTAATTTTTGTTTAATGATTGATGTGACAATTTTAAAAAATACAAAAAAAATTAAATTAATAAAAAATTAAATTTAAGAAGCCAAATTCACAAATGAGTCAAACTTTGAGGAATTAAAACTTTTATTATCCATTTTAACCTCTTCTGCCAGAGGAGCTGTAGATACAATGACCGGGCCCACCTAATAAGTGATTTTCACCAGTTTCAATAATTCTCTGGGGGAGAAAACAATCAAGTACCTATAAAAATTTTAATGATAATTATTAATCATAAATTATTAAAATTTCAAAACAAAAACCATAGTTGTTATTTGTAATAAATTATTTTTTATTAATTGATTTGATATTTATAACAGAGTTTAGTAAATTTTCAACTAACCTTACAAAGATTGTTAATTATTTTTTGTTAATTTCCTAAACAATATTAAAAATCACAAGTGATTAGCTTATGATTTATAATTGATTTTCATAAATTTTTAATTAATATTATCAATAATCTCAAATATATTTAAAAGGTTTTTAAAATAATTTATCTATATATTGACAATAAAAAAAATCATGTGCAAGCATATTTGTTTGATTTTTTAAGTGGTTTATCTGTATTTTAACAACCAAAAATTAAGATTCACATTTGATTTTCACAATTTTTAACTTGATATTATAAATAATTTCAAGTGTATTTAATGTATTTTTTAACTGATTATTTATATTTTTTTAATTACAAGTAAGAATTTGATTTGCTATTAAAATTTTAATAATTCATGATTTATAATTGTCATTAGTTTTTGGGGTTCCTAATTGTTATTTGCCCTTATTCTAACTCCATTTTCTTTCTTTCTTTTGTTTTCCCACTTTCTATCTCTCTTTTCACCTGATAATTATATACTATGAAAAAATCACTTTTACAAATCTTAATCCTTTCCGGCGGTGAGCAAATTATAAAATAATTATATCTCAAGTTGGGAAAAAAAGGAAAAAAAAGTATAAACAGTGAAAAAATCTCCTGAAAATACAGATTTATTAAATAATACTCCATTCGAATTACAATATATATAAGTCATATGTAATGAATTCACAATTTACAAATAACATTAGTTAAAATGTTAAATTTTTAAAAATATTCACATCTTTTAATTTATACTCTTTTTAAATACCTTATGTAAGAGCCTTAATAATAATAATAATTTTAATGCATAGTTTTTCAAAAAGAATAATAATTGAAATAGGAGTATAGTTGAAAAATAAATATAAAAATTATCTAATACTTTATATTTTGAATTAAATAAAAATTTTAAAAGATGTTTTATATTATGGTCCAAAGAGAGTAAAGTGATAGGATTTAATTTGAAGTAGGTGATGAAAGTTTTAAACCTAAACTATGTTATAATCGGGTTAGTTTTGTATAAAAAAATTCTTGCACCTCGATCTAGCTCTCCTAAATAATTTAAATTTACAATGTCTTATCCGTGAATGTAATAATATGCGTTATAATTTTACGGTGGGTTCTTACACGAGGTTTGTTCCTCTTCTTCTCCATAGTGAATTCCTGTGAAATGAACATTTGATGCTTTTTTCCTTTTCTGATATAAATTTCCATTTGAAATTTATTTGCCTTTCTTAATTATCAGTTTTGCATTCAATGAGTAACAAACATCTTCTACCGATTTTTGTCCCTCCCCCCCCTCTTGCTTCGTAACGCACGTTTCTCTCTATTCTCTTCCTCGCTTCTTTATGCTCTCTCCCATCGACATACGGCCTCGCATCTTTGTATCTTACTGACTCTGACATCTGTGCGCCTCACTCACAGTGCCGCTACTATATAAACTGCTCTTTCTTGACGTTCAACACAAGCGTTTCTCTTTGCCACCTGCCCCCTCTTTGCCCATATCTCAATTCGCGACTTTCCTCCCTTCTCTTCGGCGCAACTACACTCCGGTGATGTTTTTCTTCTTGTTTTGCATGTCTTTTTTATCGCCTTCATGTGACCGTCTTAGCAAATAGATTCTTTTTTCGAGCCCCATTTTTCATGCGAGCTATGCATTTTCTCTATTCATGTTTCATGATCAAGGGCTTTTCTGGATTTTGCTTTCTCCCCCGGTTTACTTTAGATTTTGTAGTTTTCATGCATCTCTCTCTGCATTTGTTGTTTCTGTTCTTCGGTACATTTCCCGTTGTTTTTTTTCGATGAATATGCGCTGAAGTTTTCTCGACGGTGTATCAATGGAACTTTGCAGGTGAATGCGTGCGGCTCGTGTTGGGTTCTGAAGAAATGGCTGGTGCTTTGGACCTCGGAAAGTCAAAAAGAAGGAAGAAAGAAGACGTTGAAGCTGGTAGAAGTCAGAAATGGTGGATGAAACTGGGTTTCTTCGTCGGAAGCTGCTTATTTTTGAAGCCCAAAGAGGACGGCTCTGGTATTAGTCTGCAGAATGGTGTTCCATCTTGTTTCAGCATTATTGTTCGAGTTTAAATCATTTTTGAATCTTTGTTATCGACTTCCAAAACTACTAACAGATGATTTACTCTTCCTTAGTAGACATCACAAATCTAAGTATGATTGACGTTACGTTGTCGTAATTCTGTGTGATACATTCATCTTGAGAATTATCTGTAATAAGATTGGCGTGCTGATTTCTTCTACTGCAGAATCAAATTTTCAGCTTCATCTATCCTCATGTTATATATCATTTCTCTTTTGCCATTACCAAGTGTTCTCTTGTGGCATTTCCAGCGGAAATGACGGCCCCATAGTGGTGTTTCCTTGGTTATGAAGTGCAAAGAACTTGTAAATCGTTATGACGTTCATATTTTGGAGCCACAGTTTCAGGTTTTCATTATCGAACTTCTGTGCAAATAGCTTATAGGTCGGTCCTTGAAAGTTGAAAGGACACTCAATGTTTCAAAATCAGCACAGTAGTTTTTTACTGTCGTTGGAGAGTCAGACGAGTCAATGAAATTCAGTGTGGCCCTTATTCAGGATTATCAACTCTATTCTTCAAGAAAAACCAAACTTGAATAGACAAACTAACTTGAAGATATATGAGCAGAATTTTTGCCTTCTGATCTCATAAATCTCATTTGGTGTCAACACTAAGCACAGGCAGTCACTTAACTTTTCCCTGCTTTCAATCAAAACTAACATCTACTTCTCCTATGGCTGCCAAAGATTTGTGTTTAAGTTTCAACTGAATGGGTTCATGATGGATGTGCTTTCTGGATATCGTCCATTTCATCTAATTCCGTGTCAAGGGATATTCTTCGTGATTTTGTTTTGCAAATAGAGCTAAAAGTCGTTGGGCAAAAGATTTTCATTTGTACATGGAAAATGGTAGAAAGGACTGTGACTAAAGAATATGCTGCACCACGGATGAGTTCCTTGTGTGTCTTGCATTTAGATTTTCTGTGGATTTTTTCTTTATCATACGCCTTCTTTTTTAATATCTGTATGGTCATTTGGTCCGTCTAGCTAGAGAGTCCTATGTTGTCAAAATGGTTGTACCTGTGAAGTGTGGTTAAATGAGTATTATTAGTTATAAACATGCATTGATCCTCATGAAATATGTTGTTTAACCAATATATTATACATTATATGAAAATAGAATAAAACAATTATTTTACTGTTCATTTGAAGGGATCTTTCATTTTACATTTTTTTTGGGACTTCGTATTGTTGTAAGAAAATTCTAAATCTCAACAATTATTTTGTATCTGCCAACTCTGTACAAGTACATTATTAATCCTAATTCATCTCAAATTTGTGAGTATGTCAACTGCAAACAAGCATTTTTGTTCTGTTAAATTTGATTTGATGCCATTTTCCTGTTGTTCATAGAAAGCGACTCTACCAAAAAATCCGATCCAGGAGCTTCACCATCCTTGCCGCACTTTGAGGAAATAAAATTTTCTTCCAATCTTCGAAGGTTTTCTTTTGATGAGCTCAAGGAAATTGCAAGTAATTTTAGGCCCAGCAATATTCTTGGCCAGGGGGGTTTTGGATGTGTTTTTAAAGGTTTTATCAAACAAGCAAGAACAACTGGCTCGGAAGCGATTCCAGTTGCAGTGAAGATTCTTAACCATGCAGGACTTCAAGGCCACAAAGAATGGCTTGTATGATGAGAACTCGTTTACCCTAATTATCTTTCTTTACGTACAAGCTAGCTATATATTTTACTTCTTCCTTTCGTGGAGAATTTTTTAAGTTTACATTCACTTGTCTACCTTGTACGATTCAGTTAAAATAATACATCTTGCTATTATTTCACTGTGGCAGACTGAAATTAATTATCTTGGCGCACTCCAGCATCCGAATCTAGTTAAATTAATAGGTTACTGCATTGAGCAAGAAAAAAGGTTGCTAGTGTACGAGTTTATGCCCCGAGGCAGCTTAGACAACCATCTGTTTAGAAGTATGTCTCTGAACTTATTTAATTCATAGAGATTTATGCAATCACCCAAGAATTCAGAAGGAATACATCGGTTAATCTATGTGGCATTTCAGATTTGCGCTCTTCAACCTTAGAATTGTGTATTCAGAAGCTTTTTTTTTTTTTTTAATCAGGGACTACGCCCCTTCCGTGGTCGATCAGATTGAAGATTGTAGTTGGCGCTGCGAAGGGCCTCGCGTTTCTGCATGAAGAAGCTGACAGGACAGTGATCTTTAGGGACTTGAAAACATCTAATATCTTGTTGGATGCAGTATGTGATACTGATGTTTTCGACTTATGCTTCTTTAATTTCAATATATTGTTCTTCTATATATGTCCATCATTTTCTTTCTGTTTCAGGATTATAATGCAAAACTTTCTGATTTCGGACTGGCCAAAGATGGTCCCGAGGGTGACTCAACTCATGTGTCTACTCGGGTGATGGGAACATTTGGCTATGCAGCTCCTGAATACGTCATGACTGGTCAGTTTACTCCGACGCAAACTTATCCTTAACTTCGATGCGTGTATGTATATGTTGTAATTGTCCTGCAATCCCTTGAATAAAAATATCTTCTACTCCATTGGAATGTGGACATCTCTATTTCTTTAACTTTCACGCGTCTCGCTTTACTTTTAGAAGCTAAACGAGAACCATGCTTTATCTTTCAAAATCGCCTCAAATGTTCTCACCTTCAGTGAACAATCTGATATGTTGTTTACATTGTTAACTTTTAAAACGAACTTACGATCGTTGTCCAAATCATGTTGTTATACCTATTTCCATTTTCTACCTCCATGCCCATGTACACGACGCCATTGATCTTCAGAATAAATGGCAGTTCAGTCATATATTTTGTATAATAACAATGTCGTGTGGTATTTCAGTGTCAACTGTCATGTCAACCACCAATGCATGATCACAAGTTCTATGGGCGTCCTGTCAGTCACCATTTACCTGTACATCAAATCACCCCTCATTTGTGTTTTTTTGGCCAAAAGGAGGATTTTTTTTAAAAAAATGATAATAAAATCTCTTTAAATTATATAAATAAAACTTTAATTTTTTAAAATATTATAATTCTTCTGAAATCTTTAGAAAATTTTCTGTCATTAAAAAATTAATGTAAATGATCAAATTGTCCTTCATTCAAATATCAATTGTCATTCACAATTTTTATTTTAAAATTTGTAATTTTTTTTCTTAAAATTGTAAGAATGTAACAATAATTTTTAAATTCACATTTGAAATCCTGAGATTCCTCAAATGATGAAAATATCAATTATCATTTATAAATTTTTTTATCTAAAATTCACAATTTTTTTTTTAAATTACAAGAATTTAATAGCAATTCGTAAATTTAAATTAAGGATAATTTAATTATTTACATTAATTTTTTAATAAAAAAAAGTCTCCAAGAACTTCAGAGAATTATAGCATTTCAAAAAATTAAAATGTCATTTATATAATTCAAAAGAATTTTATTATTATTTTTCCTACTTTCTTTCATTTAATTTAGATAATATTGACCATCGTATAGATATTCCTCTCTCATTGGCTAAACTTCTGCCTGTGTGTCCCCTAAGCACACACTTTCTTGTAGTTGCTGTGTGATCTGTCTCTTGCTAGTCCCATACAGTAGGAGTGACTTCAGCTACAACAGAGACAATCCTGCTTAAGGTTGATATTCAATGTTTTTTTTCAATAAAGATTATTTAGGAAGTGAAAATAAATTTAGGTTGGCTGAAGCAAGTTAATAAGACTCTACACATGTGGTTCGAATTCATAGTTATGATAAGCAACAATGTCGGGTTTATGTTTTATCATTCTTGGGCATATTCTTATCTTCAAGCACCAGAACTGACACATGGACAAGATCTGTCTAGACATTGAGAATCAGTTTTCCCCCCATAACTTTTGTTAGCTAGAGACTTGACGGAGTCTGGTAGATCACACTGAACAGAGAGAGAACAAGTCATAAATTTACAGTCAGTTCTTCAAAACTTCAATGCAAGTGCAATAGCAAGCAAGTTTTCGAAATTCAAAATGGAAGGTTAATTAAGGTAATTGTAACTAAAGAAATCCCAAAAATTTTAATACATGGAAGTAGAGTATTTCAGAAGCAGCAGCTGCATTAAAAACGTACTCAACGTAAGTAGATTCTTATTTCCGCGTATTCTTTTGCTGCTTGCAAGATATACTGTCGGAAGCAAGTCTGCATTTAAATTCAAGACACCTTCCAATAGACAGTTAAGAGGGTGCCTCCTCGTGAGTATACACTAGTGTGTGTTCTACGGAAGCCCTTGATCAAAAGTGGATGGGAAAATGGCAATAACCCTGCGACATCATAAATGCCTGGTTTAATTGTAGGTTTATTTTACGTTTTGCACTATATATACAGGAGAAATCATTGTCATTAACGCTTCTTTGCAAAACATTCACCTTCATTTAGATGCCTTCAATACAGACATGTTTATCATAATGTCACTTTCTGTTTGAGGCATTATTTGAGGCACTTGTGAGTTCTTAAGAAGTGGATTGCCCCAATAATTAACCTGATGAATCTTGTTGCAGGACACCTTACTATCAAGAGTGATGTGTACAGTTTCGGGGTGGTTCTGCTGGAGTTGCTGACAGGGCGAAAGGCCATGGACAAGAATCGGCCTCGAGGCGAGCACAGCTTGGTGGAGTGGGCGAGGCCCAGCTTTGCGGACAGGAGGAGATTCTACAGGCTGATAGATCCTCGGCTTCAAGGTCATTACTCGATGAGAGGTGCTCAGACGGCGATCCAGGTCGCTGCTCGCTGCGTTGCCCGTCACCCCAAAGCTAGACCCATCATGTCCGAGGTTGTCGGAATCTTGGAGCCTTTGCTTGATCTCAACGACATGGCCCTCTCTTCAACCTCCTTCCAGTCCATGGCTTCTAGTTCTAGGATGCAAGCTCGTGGGCCGTCACAGCCTGGCTCGTCCTCCAGGAGCTTACCCAACTCGCCATTTCGCCCACACTATCCGCTTCCCTATCCCAGTCCCAAGGGAAATATCCCATGACATAGATCGATCGCTAGGGCGCTTATTTTCTGTTTTGCAGGGATAAGGATTCTAATTTACCATTCTTTAATATAGTTTATAAAGCTTGCTTCTACATAAAACAAGAGACCTTTTGATATCTTAAAATCTTAAAATGTAGAGTTTTAGACGTTTTGAGATTTTTCAAAGATAGAAATGTGTGATTTTGATATTTTTCTTGAAAAAAATAAAAAAAAATACATAACTCTATCATTTGAGATTTTAAGATATCAAAATGTCTCTTGTTATATGTTGAAGGCAAAAGTCAAAAAAACAAAGAAGTTGGAAAAGTGTAGCATTACAAATGACATTATGAAAAACGTATATTAATGCTCCTTCATGAAGATGAGCGCCAGACTAGATTATAGAAAAAGACAAGTCCAGTTTAAAGCTCACTAGAAGCCATTGTTTTCAATCTTCTAAACATGGCTAGATGAGCAAGTATTTGGAGGTGTTCTAGATTTTATTGTTCATTTTAAAAAAAAGAAATACATACAGAATATTTCTTATCGTGGCCAATAGTACAGTTTCATTGGTCTAATTTTAAAAATTCATAATTAATTTCACACATTTTCAAAAATTATGAATTAGAATTCTATAAAAAACTTGAGACATTAATTACTCTTTAATGCACAAAGAATTATTAAAAAATATTATCATTTTTCCTTTGACAATCTTTAATAATTAAGATAGCTCATTTTTTATCTTCTTAAATGTCCTAGTTGATTATAAAATTATTTTTCAATGTATATAAATACTCTTAAAATCTCTCTTAAACTATTATTAATTTAATATTAACTCAAAAGGTAAGAATTTGAGATCTTACATGAAGTCAAAACCTTAAACAAGGGGATGCAAAATTTTAAAGGGTTAAGCTACAAATCTACCCTTAAAGTTTCCAACCAAGTGCATCCTTCATACTAAAGTTTTTTTTTTTTGTGCAATTTCACTCCCAACATTTTTTATTCAGGTACAATGTTACCCTGCTATTACCCTTTGACTGATTTGACCATTATCTCTAGAATTTTGATTGTTTTCTGCCTTCTTGGACTGCCACCTCTTGTTCCACACAGGATGTGAAATTTATGTTGTCCATTCAACAAGTAAGGGAAGATTTTAACGCCATCTTGAATCTATTCTGCAAAGCATATTAAAGAATGGCGACAACAATCTCAAGGCAAGCACAAAAACATAATCAACAATCTAATTTAAGAATCGGATTCACTCAAAAAACCAAAAATCAGAATCGAAACCAAAAATCTCATCTAAGACAAATCATAATCAACAATCTCATATCTACGATCAATACAAATGCAAAGGAGATCTGGATCAAAGTTAGAACCCATAAATCAATTACATCAAAAATAAAAAACATCAGCATCGATCGAACCTAGAAATCGCTATCGATCAAACCCAAAAATGCAGTGACAATGTTGAAACTGATCTCAGATATCAAAAATTAAAAAGAGGTAGAGCAATTGAAGAATCTCAGTTATTCACGCTTGCCCGTCGAGACAAATGATTCCATTCAATGACCCCTGTTCTTTTCTATATAATCTCATTCACTAAACCACCGTGGCAAGCCACAGGAATGAATTGGGCATAAGGGAGTATCCACATGCAATTCTAGGTTTCAAAAACTAGATGGGTTCACTGATAATCTGAGAGGAAGAGCGAACAACGTGACTGAAACTAAGACTGATGAAGAGAAAAGAGAGAAGACTGAGATCCAAGACTAAGACACATGATTGATTTCCTCCAAGGTGGTGTACCACCTTTCCCTCTAAGATACATCCCTTTGACAACGGCATGGGACGTGAAGAAGAAATACGGTGGCTTTGAACCCAAAGAGGCTTCTAAGCAACCCAGATCTAATGAACAAAATCCCATCATGTCTCTCAGCATAATCCTTAGCCTCCCACACGGTGGGTTCAATATTGGCAGAGGAAGCAGGAGGCTTGGAAGATGAGGAAGAGGTGAGGGGGACTAGTTCAATTTGATTTGGAGATGACCAAAGGAAGAAGAAGCAAAGGAGACAAGGAAATGTAGAAGACAACAAATATGGGGAAGGGGAAAGGTTGAGGTGGTTTTTTTTTTATTTTTTATTTTTAAAATGTGTCAAGTTGACGCCAACAAGCATTTAAGATCAAACTTAACGGTCAAAGAGTGACAAAGGGCAACATTGTACCCAAATAAAAAACGTTGTAGCAAAATTGGGTCAAAAAATAATTAAAGATATAAGGTGTTCTTAGCTAAAAACTTCAAGGGGTAAATTTTTACTTTAACCTAACTTTAAAATTCAATAGTGGAGAGTAAAATGTTAAAAGTTGAAAGTAAGTACTTCAAAAAATTAAAATATATGCATCAAATTTATAATTTTTTTCCCATAAAACTGAGGGCGGATTCACCACCTCACCTCAATGTGGCCATTGGGGAGACGTACTCCATGGCAACATGGTTGATTTTGTGAGGTGAATTAATTTAGTGAAAGTAGGCCTAGCTAGCTATACTGTAATTCTGAAACATGTGGCCTTGACTTAGCTATAATCTCCTCTTTCCTATATCTTAATTTAGTGAAACCCGTGGTCCAATTGCCATTTTCATTTGAAGAAAACCACCACACAGATCACTTCACTTCTTTATCAACGAGGCCATCAATATATATATATATATATATATATGTTGAGTCTAACCCATCAAGAAGGATCCATTTAGTGTGTCATTAAAATTTGGATTTACAATTTAAATATGAAACAGTTACAAACTTTAATTGTTTTATAGGCTGCCAAAAATATATGCCTACCTGAAGCACCAGCTTCAAGTGACCCGGACAATTTCAAAAGAATCCTCAGGATCGGAAGTAAGAGCCCAACAACAGCTGGCCATGTGCCCTTACTGGCCGCTCGGCCCTTTTGCTATTTTCCAAAACCAAAGAGAGAGGGGGGGAGAGAGAGAGAGAGGCCATCCAATAAAGCCAACTTATAGGGAATCGGTTTCGGTGAGCACCGGGCAGTGTATTTTTTTTTTTTACTTTTTTAAACCACAAATTTATTATACTAATAATAAATAAATATTATAAAATTATTATTTTAACATTTAATAAATAAATAAATATTAAAATGTTAAAATTAAATATCAACAGATTAACTCATTAAAATTTAATTTGAACAATTCATATATAAATTTTGGTCTGAACAATTTAAAACTGTATTGAAAAAATTAAAATTATAAATAAAAATATTTTTTATTTTATTGATTTTGCACAGTTGTTTATCTATGAGAAATAATATCATTCAGGTATAGTCAGGTATTAAATATAGGTACTTCTCTTAATAAAAATTCAAACATTAATTTATTACGGTGTAAGAAAATGGTTCATTTTGCTATACTCAACTCCTATTTTAAATTATTCAGATCATTTTTATTTTTTTAAATACAGTTCTCAATGTTCAGACCAAAATTTTTTATTTAAATTATTGATTCAATTTTAACATATTAATATTTAGTTTATTAAATATTAAAATAATAATTTTTATAATAATAATTTATTATTAGAATAAATTTGAGGTTTAAAAAAGGCAAAAGAAAAAAAAAAAACTGCTGAGCACCACGGTACTCATCTTAGATGAGCATTGAAACCGAGCCCCTAACTTATAGATTGTAGTCTGGGACTCTAAAAACTTTGAAATATAGTATAAAGTAATGAAGAAGAAAAAATAATCAACGTGTGTCGTGTATATGTATTTTTTTTAATTATAAGAGTTGAAATGGGTTTTCCAACCTAAAGTGTTGAAATAATTTTTTTATTAAATTTTTGATATTTTCAAAACACATAAATCAATCTAAAATAAAAATTTAGAACCAATTGTATGATAATATAATATAAATCAGACTACTTAATTTTTTAAAATATGATATAATAGTATAATAAATTTTTTTTCAACTTTTTATATTTTAAATGAAACAATTTTTGTTAATATCAATACGTGATTTATGAACCAATTGTATAAAATTTATACTATTATATCATATTTTAAAAAATTAATTAGTCTGCGCTAACATTAAAATAAAATCTATAATTAATATATTTATTGATTGAATATTTCAACCAAGTGATTTAAAATATTATTTGGCTATAACTATATTCCTTACTAATTCAACAATTGGATTTTTCATGTTGTAAAAGATATTTTGAATTTATTTTTTGCATTTTTTTAAATGGAGACTATACTTGTATTGACGTAATATGTTTTAAATATGGAGAAAAAAAATTCTTTAAGGTTAGAATGAATATGTTTCGGCTAAATTTAAATTTATGTTTGCCATGGCTGAGATGGACTATTAATTACAATGTCCCAAGTTTTTAATTGCAGTTGGAAGGATTAGAATTCTGCGATGAATCTATTCGGTTTTCACTGCTGCTCCTTTTTCTCACACCTCGTAACTAGAGTAAATTGTGGAGCTACATTAATTACTTCTCTATAACAGTTAACAGCAACTGACTTCGTTATATATAAAATATTTTTAATTAAAAATTAATTATTTAGTTAAAAGCACAACAACATTTAAAATTTATTTTTAATTATAAATAAAAATAAATTTTTTTTCAAAATAAATTAATAAAAATATTTATCTTTTTCTTTTTTTAATTAATAAAAGTATAATAATTCATTTATTAAAAAATATAATAACAACTTTTTATATTTAAGATAAAAAAATTTAAAACCTCTTATATATATAGGCAGAGATTATATATATATATATATATATGGGTTAGGAGTATAGTTGAGATAACCAAGACTTGAAGATAAGATATACTCAAAAGAAAAAGGTAGCGGCGTAGTGCAGTAAATAAAAATTGTTGCTATATTCAATTTTTAAACCACTACTAAATCTGTCTCTATTTTTCTTTTAACTTTTTTTGCTATAAGCTCCGCTTTCCATGTTTTTGACCCAGACCATTTTGAGTATTCATTTATGGA